TCTTCCCTCCCCTCGGCTTGCTCTTGCTTTCTTCTATACGTGGTCCAATGGTCAACCATCACAACTGACTCTATTTCCTGTCCCCACCTGCCTTAAGCCCAAGGGTGGAACAGAACCCAGTGAAATCCAGTGCCACTGGCCCCGCAGATGTGTGGTGCCGACACAGCTGGAGCAAGAGTCCTGCTGAGCAGCCTGCTTCACCTCAACGGTTGCTCCCTCTGAGTGTCCATGTGTGGCTTTCATGCTGTCACACCTTCTCCTCCCTTTTTAATACCCAGCACCTATGTTCGTATTGCTCCCAGCCATAATTTTGCCATTAAGAGTCAAGAGGCTGGGGAGATGGCTCAGTAGAATAAGTGCTTCCCTGGCAAGCACTAGGGACTGAGTTCAATTCCCCTGCCCCCCGCGCCGACAAAAAGAGTCAAGAAATCAGAAGAAAATCTTCACTCAATCCACCTCTCTCCTCTTACCTCTACTTGTGTTTATGATCATCTCCATCAAAATCTTGCCCTTCCTCTCGTAAGACTGGACAGCTCACAAGTCAGTCCCTACCTTGATGCCAACTGCTCAGGGATCTACGTGTGCATCCAAAATGCTCGAGAAATGGCTTCAAGAGCAGACTAACCAGGTCACTGCCAACAAAAGAAGAAACATGCTAGAAAAGAAAAGAGAAAGCAACAAAGCAAGAAGGAGCTTTCAGACCTTGTACGCACCAGCCACTCATGATGTGTTATTCCGATTATCAAATGGATCTCTGTATTTACTTATGTCCCTTTCTGTGCACCTGTTCACTCATGTACTCACTTAGTCAGCGTTCACTTTGCCAGGCCTCAGCTCAGCTCTCGCGCAAAGCACCCATGAGAACTCGCGAGCTAACTTCTAGAGCGTGAAGGGTCAGTGGCATGCTAAAACACATGGGACGACGAGGCTCCCAGAACCTCAGGTAAACAGCAGGCAGGAGACAACATGAGCCCAGAAAGGGAGCTGTGTGTTCAAAGTATGGTGGGGGAAGCCTCCATGTCAAGAGAAAGAATCGAAATAGAAGAACTCAACATCCATTGTTCATCCTGTCAGCCCTTAGTGGTGACTCTTACACCAACCTCGGGACACACATTTAGAATAGTTCAAAATAAGGTTCGTGCACTACCTGGGATTAATTTTTTTACTCACTCTGATAGCTTCAATTTTTACTATCTCCAAACAGAAATTACTGCATTTAGGATGCACTGGGCCGAGTAAGGTTGGCCTGTGAGGCTTAAACAGGGGCCGCCTCTATCTCACCTTCCTGACGCCCTGAGGCACCAGGAGGGAGGGCTCCTTTCATGTCTTATGATGCAGTCTTGAAAACGTGCTGGCCATTGGGCATGATTAGGCCACCAAATTGGCACTGAAATGAAGGCTCAGTAAGACACAGGCAGGGCAAGGTTGGGCCCGGAACTCAGGAGCAGTCCTGGGTCTGATCCCAGCATGAGAAATGAACAGGATTCTATGGCCTGGTGCCCTGGGCCTGGGCTACCACGTACGTGTTGCCATGGTGATCTTAGCCCGGAGCATCCATCTAGAAAAGAGTCCCCCAGTGCTGAGGTCAGGTGAGGATTCCGCAGGGCGGTTCTCCTGACTGGTGCCCGGGGTGCCACCCTTGCTGGGGAGGAGCGCACTGAAGAAAGCAGTGACTTGCAGCACTTCCATCGCCTGTGGGCTGTCCAAACCTATCTCTCTGAGATCCCGAAAGGGAGACAGAAATGCACACTGTATAACTGGTGTCAGGCCCTCCACAGTACGCAGGAAAATGCCTTCAATAAAGTATTCTGAGTCTCTGAAGAACTCAAAGCATCAACTCCACATCATTTAGAAGTTATTGAAAATATCTGACTTACCACTTAAATTTTAGCAGATATAGCAAATCAGTGGTCTTCAAAATGTTTGGGTAATTTCTAGTTTTGAAAAACTGTATACTTTCTTGAATATGTTGACAAAGGCATCAAAATTTTCCTTTCATATAAATGTTTAAAAAATTACAAAAATGAAATTTTTAGCATGATTTAAAAATGAACATTTCAGTATATGATGTTATATGACTAAGTATTCGTGCCTTCTTATACAGTCTTTTGTGTGTGCTTTCAATAAATTTTATTGGAAATTTAATTTTTTCATTTTTCTTTAAACCTTTATCCATTTGATTTCTGCCCCAGAATACTATCTTTATAACTATATTTGAAAGTGAGTGCTTATTATCTTGTCATACTTCTTTAAAAAACAAAATAAAACCATATGTATATATATATAATAAGTATATATATATCATATATATATGTGATAATTAGGATCAAGAACTTACTTTAAAAATAATCTGGATAAAATTTTAATCCAGTAATAATACAATTCACTTCAAATTCCATCATATATTAATCACAAACTCCAAGATTTTATTAAAACTGTATCTCTGTGGGATATTAGTAAGGACTTCATTGGTTTTTGCAGTTGCTGTCAGTATCCATGGATACCTGCTATTTTTTTAATACAGTGAGATAGGCTTTGTTTCAGGGTCCCTTTGATTTTAATCTTTTAGCTAAAATACTTACTGAGAAAATAGTTACACAAAAGTGTGTATGCAGGAATGTGCCAGGATGTGTCACAGTGATGTTTACTTGTTTAAACTGTGAGATTAACTAAATGAGAAAAACTGTGTGAGGATCTCTCTCTGCAAAGTAATGTTAGTGACTTGTCAGTGCTCCGGCTTTCCTAAGCTTGCCACTTACATAAGAAGGCATGCAAGCATATACACTTCCCTCTACAACGTGCTCTATTATAATTACTCAGTGAAGACCATTGTCCTAAAGTTTCTCTTGCGCCAAAATGGAAAATTTCACTTTTGCAGAAAATTACAATGAAGTCTAAGGAACTCCACAGCTTGAAGGATTGAAGCTTAAGGCAACCACATAACCTCACAGGTTAACACCTCTGCATTAAACAATTACTAGAATTCACAGCAACGATTCCCCTAAATATCTTCTGGCAAACAGTTTTAAAAAAATCAAATGTTACCAGCCCAAACTGAAACTGAGCTATCTTAAATTAAATTTTATGTGTATGGGGTATTATTGAAATTCTCACAAATAATATTACAGTGCTGTCATCTTTTAGTGTGTGCGTGTGTGTGTGTGTGTGTGTGTGTGTGTGTGTGTGTGTTTGAGATAGTTTCTCCCTAAGGTACCCAAGCTGGTCCCTAAATAGAAATCTTCCTGCCTCAGCCTTCCAGAGTGCTGAGGTTAGTATGTACTGCGGTCACCTGTGCATGCGTAACGGCCACGCTCCCCGCGGACGGAGGTGTGCATGCACACATCCAAATGCTTTCTCCTTCCCCTTCCCCTCTCCTCCCTCTCTGTGCTCTCCAATTCCTGTTCTCCTTCTGGTTTGCAACAGCTCTGTTTTGTTTTTCTCTTCCGTCCTCTTCTTTCATCTCCTATGCGACTATTGATGAATTATTGTTCTGCTGCCTGAAGTTCTCACTCTTCTGTGCAGTGGGGCAAAACCTTAATGCTGTAAGCTCTCCAGCCAGCTATGAGCGCAGCTGATCAAAGGTGAGGAGACCAGAAGCCTCGGCTATGGTGCTCCCAGGAATGGCATCCTGAGAGCTCAGGTCAGACTCTTGTGGCACAGTCACTGAAGAGCTGCGGCCGATGTACCCACAGTGCTCCTGCCAGCTGTCCCTGTGATCCCCATCATGAAGGCAGTGTGGAGTAATGATATTTCTATGAACATGTAGGAAAATACCTTGGGGCACAGCACATTCCAGGCTGCTCCTTCACTTTCAGCTCTCTAAGCCCAGACAGAAAGGATTTTAAAAACTGTTCCCCAGTGGGCTCTTTTCCAAGCAATGGGCTAATCTGAAAATAACCGAATGAATTCTATCCTATTACTCAGCATTTGATTAAATTTCACTTGCCTGTCTTTGTTCCAGTGCAGATATGGCTTGAATATCCTGTGAATGAATGTTTTTTTTAGGAGTTGGTTTAATTTACAATCAAATGCCGAAGGGGACTGTGGACTACAGAAAATTTCAGAGTGTGGCATTGCCCTGCTCTTGGCGTGGCCCAGTAACCTGGACAGACTCTCTGCACTCAGCTGGAAGCTTCTCAGCTCCTGCGTTTTAGTAGCTTCGTTTTCTCTCCCAGCAGCTGGAACTCTACCTCCTTGTCCAGCAGAAGCCCAGGCACCGAGCTCAGCGGCCTTGGTGCCCGCCCCTGCGCGCTGTTGTGCGGCCTCTCCTAGTTTCCTGGTTCCGTTCTTCTCCTTTTTGTCAGCAGGGGCAGCAAGTGCAGGAGATGGGCAGGGTCCTCTTTCCACTCCAGTACTTAGTGAGCATTTCCTGGGTACTTCTCAGACTCTCTAGCTTCCCAATTGAGAGTCAAAGCAAACAGAACACAGGATGCGAGCCGCTTCCCCGAGAAGGCTGCCAGGACTGCTCAGGACACAGGGCCATTCTCGGACCTCCCCACCTCCCCTGGCCCCCCACGCCCAGGAGTCAGCAAGCAAGCTGACCTCAGTGTGGCATGATCCGTAGGGTGCTCAACAGCTTTCTCCAGGATCCCAGAACACACCGCAGGCCAAACCCTCTCCACCAACCCCTGTGCAGTCTCCCTCTTCAGACTTTAGGTGTACGAGTGTGGCAACAGCTAGGGGGCAAAGTATGCCTATGAGTTAGGAAGACACAAAGCTGGCTCGGAGAGAAGGTGCAGAGCCTGAGTCCTTAGAGGTTTTTCACCCACAGGGAGGAAACCAGCCTGTCTCAGAAATTCCTGATGCACCTTAGGAGTTACCCAAACTTGTAGCCTGTGTTTTGCTTGGGGGACGAAATGGACGTCCTTGTTTCAGCACTGTGTGCAGAGCTAACCTGCCCCAAAGTGCAGATAACCGACCTATGAACACCGGGGGGCTGGGCTTTATTCTTTCCTTTTTTGTTAAAGGCCTGAATGAGGTGATATTCTACTACTGCTTAGGCTGAGGAGCAGGTCCGGCTGGTTTCTAGGTGCTCTATTACACCAGCATGCCAGAGCCAGCCAGCCCCACCTAATTGGGTTTCTCTGGCACCCTCCCTCTCAGAGCGACTCTCTCACTCTTAACTCATTTCTTTTCTCTTCTGCACCAACCAGGACAACTGGGATAGTTCAGTTCCATCTAGAAATACCTGCTAGCCCTGAAGGTAAGTGTGTGTTTGGTGTGTCTGTTGGGTTATTTCAATCTCTCTCTCTCTCTCTCTCTCTCTCTCTCTCTCTCTCTCTCTCTCTCTCTCCTTTCCTCCCTCCACCAAGTTACCAGCAAGAATCAAAGCAACCTCAAGCCTTGATATGACAGTCTGACAAGTAGCTACAGAGACCCTGGTAAAAACAGGTAGCTGCTCTTTAGGTAATTGTCTCCTAAATGAGCGTTCGTGCTGCTAAGTGACTTAACTTGAAGGATTACTGCCAAAGTTGCTGGATGATAAAAATTGCAGAAGAGTTAAATAAAAGACTTATTTAAGATTTATGTGACTACACTATAGAATTCCCCTAAGTCAGGCTGTAAAATGATCTCAAACTTTTTTAAGTGGAAAGTGTTCAATATCAATGTAATACTTAGATCTAAATTATGCATTTGGGCTTAAAGCTTCTTATTTTAAGTTTTAGAATATAACACAGTCCTTCTTTACACAAAAGAAAAGAATACTCACCATGAATTACAAACTTGCATACATCTCTTTCAAAGATGTTTTTCAATTTCTCAGGAAAATGTTGTAAGTAGAATTAATTTCTGAGCTTGATGAGTATTCAACTCCAACACTCGCTGGGAATTTAAAGGCCAAGTCAGTGACCGCCAAAGACTTCCAGGGAACGAAGACGTGAGCACAACTTCCTGGCACCGCTCTCAGTTTGTGAAGAAGGCCCCTTTCCTTACAGTGTCACTAATTTCTCATTTCTCCACTTCACTTTGGTCCACAAAGGCTGTTCCTCCAGACTGTGAAATAGGAGAGGCAACTGGAGACCTCATGCTTGGGAACTCAGGTCCAGAATACATTTTGAGGCATATTTTTTCTGAGCTTGATGGTCACTCACTAATGTTTTAAGTATTGAAGTTCATAACTTGGAATTGCTGAAGCCAGCGGGTGGTATGTCATTCTCTTTCCCCCGGGATTTAGGCATATCCAAGTCTTTTAATTAGGATGACATTCATAATGTTTTGAATTTTTTTTTCTTGAAGGAAAATCATTTTTTCCTTTTCTTTTCTTTGTGATTTTAGTCAAAGGAAAATGAAGTGATAGACAAGTTTGTCCTGCTCAGACTATCTGGATTCTCATTTTTCTTTTCTTTTCTTTTCTTTTTTTTTTTTTTGGCGGAACCGGGGATTGAACTCAGGCCTTGCACTTGCCAGGGAAGCACTTATTCCGCTGAGCCATCTCCCCGGCCTGGATTCTCATTTTTCAAAATTGTTTTATTAGATACACATTTTTAGAAACATAATTTCTTATGATCTCACTTACCATGATTTTTTCAGGTAGAAAAAACCAAAATATTGTTCAAGATTAGGAAGGCCATTCAGCATAACTCCAGCATTTAGGTTTTGCTGGGGTATCAGTATGCCGGACTGGGGTTTCTAAGATTAAAAACAGTAACAATGCAAACACAAACAAAACAAAACACAACAAAGCATCACAGCCATATAAGCTCTACCAAGAAATGGTCAGAAGTAACTGGAAGAAAGGGGGCCACAGTGTCTCCACAGTGGCTATTTCAACTGTAGAAACAGCTTACGTTGTCCCTACAGTAAAACTGAACTCCTGTTTATTTGAATTCTCTCATTCTGCTGTGGTGTGGAATGACTACCATTTCTACTGGCCAGGGATGAGGGTATTCCCCACTCTCAAAACCTGGCTTAGGATGGGACTGACTCAGTTAAGGCCTGGAGGGTAGGCGGAGCGGCGGGCTTTGCACTGAAGGGGAAGCAAGATGCCTCTAGATGGAGGCTTGCTTCCCGCAGGGCCAGCGTCTGTTTTCCTCCTCACCTTCTGTGACCCCACACACAGAAGCAGGAATGTGAAACCACTCTCAGCGCCAGCGCCAAAGAAAGAGGAGAAACGGCACTCACTCTTCCCACTCACTCTTCCGGAGCAGAACTGTTCAAACAGTGAAACTCACTCATTCTGAGAGTCTACTCTAAAAGCTGTCAAATATCAAAAAGCAACAGAAATATTTAATATGTGCAGGGATGTTTAGAATCTGTTTTTCAGATTTCAGAAAGGGGTTGGAGATCCTTCTTTTCTCTGTACTTCTTCTGATTATTCTACCTTTCTAAAATCTATTTTTATTAGTACACACATGCCACGCATGCGGATCATATTCACCACAGGGAATTTGTACCTGTGCAGAATTCGAGAAGCCCCTTGAATTTCTGCTCTTCACAGCTTGGCTCCTGTTACACCTCAGCATTCCCTTGAGGTCCACATGCCCTAATTACTACCACATAGGTGCCACTTGGTTCTCCTGACTTTCTCTCCCTCTAAAATTTCACTGTGGTTTCTTTTTGTCTTCTGTTGGTTCCCAAGGGGACCTCACTGACAGGGAAACTTGGGCATTCTCCAGCCGGCATTTATCAGCCTCCACAATCCCAGCTTTATGTAGCACACATACAACATTATTCCAATACCTGGACTCTAGAGAGATGGGAGAACCTGAGAGGAACGTGGAAAGAGAAAAACCGCCTCAGTTCACTTCCAGCCCTTGGGGCCTCCCGGTCCTCTCCATCAGCTTCTGACG